TCCTTCTCTTTTGGAAAGCTTGAAATCAAGGTAAGGGAAGCTAAGATGAATGGTTGATTGAATTGTTGTATTGTATGTGAGTGAGATTATCAATTGTTTCCTGAATTAGAGGATTTGCATATTTGAAGGCTGTGTTGGTGGGGTTTTAGTTGTTCTTGAGGTGGCTGAGATGATTTTGATGATCTTGATAAATTTTGTAGTTGCATGTGGTGGTTTTGGGGCAAAATGAGTTGTTGGGAAAGTATATGTATGAATGATTGAGTTGCATGCATGAATTGATGTATGGCCTAGGTGGATTTTTGGATGATTGAAGTGTTTTGTAGGGTTGATGTTTTTAAGCTTTGAATTTGCATATTTTTAGGGCCTGGTTAGTTAGAGCGCCCATGGGGATCGCTCCAAGCGAGGCTGAGTGGTTTCTTAAAGATGCTCTCTAACTTGGGTCACTTAGAGCGAATTTTTAAGCACTTTGAGCGAATTTTTGTTGCTTAAAGCAAGTTGGGGGTTTACTCCAAGCAAGCCTTGGTGGTTTCTCATAGATGCTCTCTAACTTGGGTCGCTTAGAGTGAGTTTTCAGATGCTTTGAGCGAAATGGTCACTTAGAGTGAGCTATTGGTCACTTCAAGCAAGCTGACCTCGTTAAGTAAAAGGTTGACTTGTTAAAGAGAGCAGATAGATGAATTTGTTTTTGTGGTCTTCATGAAAGATGTAGCTTGGATGTTATTTTTCCAATGGCTTAAGAATCACCTAAAAAGGAGGTCTATAACTCCAGTTATGACCTTTTAGTGAGTAAAGGCCGAGTTGTTAACATTTAGACAAATTGTTGCAATTTTTGTGATTTTTAGATGACGGAGTTAGAACTTGAAGTCTTCATAAGAGTTGTAGAAAACCTTTTTAACTTCATATGAGATAAAAATGAGTTTAATTGGAGTAGTAGAGCTCCATATGTATTATTTTATGTAAAGATTGTCATTGTATGATAACTGATTTAGATAAATTGTATGTTGATACATGTTGTATGATGAACATGAATAGATGTTTTGACTTTTATTGCATGTTGTATGGTGTATGATAATGGTTCTACATTTGTTGATTAGATACGACATATGTAGATGTTTGTATGGTGTTGGATGATGATGAGTGTAGGTATGATGTACATATGTATGATGTAATTTTGGAGAGCACTGATATGCCCTATATGGATGATGAGGTTGTTGTTGATCACTATATGTGGTGAATGGATGTGATGCATATAGATGATGTATGGTGAGGTGTAGATGTTGAGAATGCAGTATGGTATTAAAACATGTTGGCTAACTTAGGACTCGAGGAGAGGAAATTATTTTGAAAATTAGAGATCCCACATAGGAGATCTTGGAGTGATGCTTGGGTAAGTCACTATTGGAAAACCCTAATTGAGTATGTGTGTCTCTTGGAATGAGTTTTGAGGTGTTTTAAGTCTCTTTTAAGTCCTTAGTTAGTGGCAGAGTAAGGTAGGAGATTGAGGGTTACAACACTTAACCAAGTACTTGAAAAAGTTGCGTGGTTCCTTGAGGATGGTTAGTGGGCTAACTTCAAATTTGATTTGGTAATGCATGTCAAGGTCATGATATGCCTATATCTAGTTGTGCCACTTATAATGGTGGAATCGGACTTTCCTAGTGTAAGTGACGAGGCCCGAGAAACTAGAGGAGGGATTGATATCTCATTTTGTTGTGATTGAGCTGGTGCTTCGAGCGTGAAAATGGTTGAGTTTGTTTGATAGGGTGGAAATCACTTTAACTACTCACATTATTAAGAGATCTCCATAAGTGAATGAATAACGACGCATTAGTTGATGTGCTTGCATATGATGGGTGTCGAGGTGTGTGTTCATATGCATTGTTGATATCTTGTGCGACATGGTTTGGGTGAGATATATGTTTGTTTAGAGTGTTATACTTTTCATGTATGGTTGTGGTGTGATGTCATATATTATAGAATTATTTTCTATACTTACATGTTTCTGAACTCTGGCTTAGCACCCTTCTATTTTCATTATGGTTTGGACTACGATAATCATACGTTGTATGAGAGCAAATCAAGGTTAGGCTTAAGGAGTTGTTGTTAGTAGGTGGTGTGATCTTTTTATTGGTGGCGATGCTACTAGATGTAACTTATATAGTTGTATTTGATTGACACAAGGACATAAGATTATTTTGGGATTAGTATATACATTTATATATATCTTGTATATATTACTATAGGTGTTTTACTCTTATATTCATGTTATATATATGTACGTGTGTGTGATACATTCTCTCATTTAATCTTGAATGTCTAGTAGACTAGTTTCCATGGCTAGTGATAGAGATATTACTGAGTGTAAGGACTATGGTAGATCATTATAATCCTTAAGTAGAAAAGTTATTAAATAAAAAATAAAAATAAAAATAAATAAATAATTATAAATAAAATGGATAAAAAGTTGTGATAATTTTTAGGATAAATTTTAAAATATTATTCAATATTAATATTATTTATTTCATTATTTAAAATAAAATACTGATTTTTATATAATACTAATTTTATTTTTATTTGTTATAAGCACGAAGGGCAAATTTATAATTTAATTTATTTTTATTTATTCTTTTTTTTCATAATAGAAAGAAAGAAATTTAATATGAAACCCATAATATTTATTCTTTCTTTAATTTTCTTGTGTACAACAACAGAAAAATTATAGATAAATGTGTTTTTTTCTTTCATTCCTTTTCTTTTCTTCTCGGTTCCATGCATTCCAAACAATGTATTAGTACCTATTCTGCTTTTATTTATTTATTTATTTCAATTCTATTTTACCTCTTTTAGTCAAAGCATTAATTAATTCAAGTTGTTTTGTCAACCATCATCCATCCCACCATCCATGCCCACATAAATTAATATTTTTATTTCAGGACACTAATCAAAAAATAAAAAATTTGCATTTCTATGATACTGATTTTTGTTATTCTCTCAACTACGTAAATTATAATAAAAACTTTTTATTTATTAATTCTTCTAATAACACCTTTAGACCAAAATATCTTTTATTTTAAATTTTTCACGAAGCCAAGAGAATAGAAAATAATGATTACGTATATCTTTTCAAAAGGATAGCGCATAACCCAGTACCCACCAATGATAACAAAACAAAGGGTGGACCAACACAACTAAATTAAAGTATACATACACACGTACTTGTTTGTGGCTCTTGCGAATTTAAAAGTATCGGTGACACAGTCAAATATGCCATGCTTGAATTTTCTTGATCATAAAATAAGTTGTGTGGAGTTTGAAAGGGGGTTATTATCTAATAATGCTTCAAATGAAAACATGGCACATGAGGCATGTTGTCTTATATCTCTCTCAAGAGTGATAGCGAAAGGCAAAGTGTAGAAGATAATGGGCTAGCAAAACGCCACTAGTGTTTCAGAGCAGTGCACATGTTGAGTTTCAAATTCCCAATAAATGCACCACCAACCATAGTCCTCAAAATTCAAAAATCATGTTAGCCCACACAGCACAACCAAACAAATCAAACCAACACAAAAGAGGTCATCTCAGCACCATGTTTTCTGGCCTTCCCCTTCCCATCTTTTCTTCCTTTCATCATCACAAGTCCCACTTCCCATTCACAACTACACTTGTGGTCTCCTTCAAGTCAAAAAGGATAATTAAAATACTGAATCACACAAAGAGGAACTGTCTTCGCATCATTGCTTTTTACGGCTGTTCAAACCGAGGTCCCTACCACAAAGGAAAAATCAAAACTTTTTTCTGTTCACAGTTCACTCCTTCAGCGAAACGCAATTTATTGCTCCAACTTACAAGCCAGTTTGACTTCTACTCTTTACATAACCTTGCCACAATTCCACGGCTCATGAGTTGTGTAACGCATCCTCTAATTAAAATCAAAATTCACATTACTAGTGTTATTACATTCATTTGATCAAACCATCGTTCATTTTTCTTTTTTATCTATAGAAAACTACACAAGGGTTTGAACCATATAAATTAAAATTACCCATTTGATCTTAAAAACATGCAACTAATTATTACTACTACTGCTACACAAGGGTGAATTGTTTTTGATAGTTTGCGAAGTAGACACATTGATATAGTGGATCTATCTATGAACCTAGCTTGTCTTTGGTGGTGTTAGCCAGCGGTGCTTTGGGAAGAGAGGCACAAAGTACGTAGCACAATAAAACCGGTGGATGCGTGTTGTGTTTACACAACAAAAACCACATAGAATGCCTGAATGCCTGCATCTCTTGTTGGCACCTTCCCCTCACTCGGAAAGGCAACAAAAAGGGTCAAGATTCCTTACCCATTCTTCTACTCTTTCTTTGACAGCTAGTGTTGCTTTTGCTTACCATTGATGTAAACCACCACTTATTCACATAATAACATTTTTCATTTTTCTCAATTCTTACCCCTCCCTACCACTCTGCCTGCAACGCCTGCACTTACTTAGCCATAACGTTAAATATAATCATTATTATTGCCCTCAAGTGGAAGCAACTGAATTGGGTCACACATTTCAAATTCCGCATTAATTCAAGCGAGCGTTTTACACTAGTGCGGGAAACGAAGTGAATTAAATCCTCTGAAAATACGCAGCGACCACATTAAAAGTTCCAAAATAAAAACAAAGACCAAGACCAAGACCAAGACCAAAGGGTTCGAGAATTTGATTGATTCATTAGTCATTACTCTGCCGTAGTAGTGAATGGTAGAACCTAGAACCTAGAACCTAGAAACTAGAAACTAGAAACTAGAAACTAGAAACTAGAAACTAGAAACTAGAAACTAGAAACAAGAAACTTTTCCTCTCATTAATTAAATTCCCAATACCCTCATGGGCATGGCTCATAATAATTGACGAATTTATTGTTTACGCAAAGCTAAACATTTCGGAATCATACTCCACGAGCTCAATAATGAGTGAAATTAAATTGGCAATCTATAACGAGAAGAAAAAAGAAAAGGCAAAAAATTTAGATACAATTGAAGCAAGATTCTTGTTCCATTCTCTGCATAAGCCATTACAAGTTTATCTCTCTCTGATGAATGCCATAAATATATATAGAAGAATCTTACAGAAAATGTAAAGGGGAAGGGGAAGGGGAAGGAAAAGGGGAAGGGGAAGGAAAAAGAAATTAATTAATTAATTAATATATCTTAAGAGGAAGAAGAAGAACCTGGGGACGCGGTGGGGAAGAGAGGCAACAAGCGAGGCTCAGCGTCCCTAGGTGTGGTGGCGCGGGGTGAGGGGTGCAAAAAGAAACCCTTTTCTTTGATGGCTTTCTCTTCAGCTTCGGTGTTGAAAGAGGGTGCAGCGGCGTTGTTGGAGCGGGATCGGTCAAACGGGTCGGGTATGAGAGGCGTGACAGGGCTGAGAACGAGCGCGGGAAAATCGAGGATGCTGGGAGACAGCACTTCGGGTTTCCTGGGCGAGAAAACGTTGTTGTTGTTGATGTTGTTGTTGAAGACAGGGAGCAGAGGGTTGATGTTCAGATTCTTCAGCGTGTTCCTACGCTCGTAGAGTTTGAACCCGGATTGTTTCTTGATGGGTGGAATGGAGTGGGAGTGGGAGTGGGAGTGGGAGTGGGAGTGGGGTTTCGCAGGTTCGGACCCAGGTTTGGGCACGGAGGAAGAGGCTTGTTTGGCGGTTTCAGTGGATCCGGTTAGCATTTGGACCACTTGTTTGAACGAGGAGGTGTCGGCCTGCACGAACGTTGTCGGGTACGGGTTGGCGGATTCGGA